TGAGAGCGGGGAGAAGCAAGAGCTACAGTATATGTTTCGTAGGGTTTTTTTTGTATGAGTAGTTGTGTGTATATGTTTTTAACTAATAAAAATCATTGAGTAGTTTAAGCAGGAGGGACCAGCTTTAACTCGAGCAGCTGTCAAGAGCCTTAGGGATGACATTCTTATTGGGTTTTTTTGTTTTTTCCCCCAACACACAAGCCGAACTCCAGTACATGAGTTCTAATTTCTTTTTTTTTTTTTTTTCATTTTAATAAATAATTTTATTGGGGGCTCTTACAGCTCTTATAACAATGCATACATCAATTGTATCAGCATATTTATTTGTTCATATGTTGCCATCATATCCAAAATATTTTCTTTCTACTTGAGCCCTTGGTATCAGCTCCTCTTTTTCCCCCCTCCCTCCCCCACCCTCCTATCCACATAAACCCTTGATAATTTATAAATTATTATTATTTTTATATCTTATACCATCCGCTTAATTTCGTATTTTTAACCAAAGAAGAGAACCTTTAAAATTATGGTCCAGGAAAGGCACACAGGGATCTGCTCCTTTAAACAGAAAATAGCCACTGGGTTTTTTCACAAGTAGCTAGTTGAAAACTCTAAAATCTGAGTAAACAGGTAAAGCTACATTTTTCCCTGAGTGAAATCCCAGATACAGTTTTTTAACTAAACTGATTGGATCCTGTTCAGATGGGTTGATCAATTATTAGGATACTGAATTTTGGTTGCTTGCTATCTGGGGAGTCTTCAAACCAGGCGCCCGCTCTGCGTTAGGAATGCATATGGCTGTGTACGTGGTCCATTCGGGCACCCAGCCCCCTGGCCCAGCTGCTGAGTGGCTTCAAGAATCCCGCGAAGTAGCCTGGAAGCAGAACTGCCAGGCAAAGCAGAAACTCAGCTGCACTGGAGTCCAGGATGCTGTCTTTGATTTTTGTGGGGTGATAAGCATTTTTAATTAAACGTGTCCCAAATGTGGAACTCTCCCAAATCTATAAACATGTAGCAGATTGAGCTAGCACAGCCAAGCATCATTGAAGTTGTGGGGGAAATGTGGCTCCTTAAAAAGTGAGTGGTTAAGCTGAAAAAATCCAGCTGTGTTTTACTTACCATAGCACTAATCAGGGTTCTTTGACTTATTTTTTTCCTTCATTAGTGTATCAGATGGGGTGTGTGTGTTGGTACCCCATCCCCCAGCCCTTCAATTTTATCTTTAAGACTGATTTCAGATACTGGTGAGTGCTAGAGCAATATAATACTTATGTGGTGAGTAATATAAACCCTTTGTCATTTATCTCTTAAATAGGTCAGAAGCTGACGGTAATCTTCATCAGGAAAGCAATTAGATTTTAACCCCTTCCTAGCACATCCTCTGAGAGGGGTGGGCTTTGAGTTTACACACAAATAAAGATTGTCACTAACAAAACAAAGAATATGGTGATTGTCTTAGTTTCTCAATTAAACCCAAAAAATCATCCGGTGGGATATTTGGGGCAGGGGGTAAGCGGGGTGGTCAGGGAGTTCCCAGGCTAGGTTCCCTGCTGAAGACCATTGTCAGAACATGCTGGGGAAGGTCCTATTAAGTCTCAATCTTTTTCTTTAGACGAGTAAACTGTTAGGCCACTTAAGGCTACTAAAACTCTCTAGTCAATAGATGTAAGAAAAAAAATCAATTCATATGAAGGTATAGCAGGGAGCACACATTATTTAGATGGGACTTGGGTTATTAATACTAATATATACAAATGTGGGCAGATAATGCCCCTCCACCCCAGCCATTCCCAGGCTGCTCGATCTTCCTGTTTACTGTAATCCTGCTTCTCTGGGAATTACTTCTGCCTTCTCGGAGACACTTTCTTCCCAGTGAGGGAAGGCTTGCTTTATTTGTTCAGTTGTAATGTTCAATGTATTAGTGACATTGGTTTTCAATCCCTATGTATATATAAATAGTAACCAGTACATTTGAACTATGTGTTAATGATTGATAATGAAGTTTTGAGTTATAATACAGATGATTTGGTTAATATCAGTTGTGGCTATATTTGGAAATTAGACCTGAGTATCAAAGTTTTACATGTGTGAATCTTTGATAATACAATTTAAAAATAATTACCCAAGTATCTCTTTAAATAGATAGATAGATAGATAGATAGATCACCAGATAATTTAAGATAAAATAATACCTAGAAACAGTAAACTCTGGTATAAACTCTGGTAAGCACCACGAAGGAACCATGTGAGACAACAATGGTGGTTGCAAGGTGGGATGTTGGGAATGCCTCCTATGGAAAGGCGGGGATCAGACCTATGAATCAAGCTAAGAACTGCTCAGATGTGTCCCCAGAAGAGTGTTTTTTAAGAGATTCTTCTCCACTCCTAGAGTTACCCCAGTTTTTTCCTACAACCTTTGACAATGAGAAAGTTAATGGAAATGCTAAAAATGGAGAGGGTCTTCACCATCCCCTCCTTCCTATCTGAAAATGGTCATTTGCTGCCATATCTGAAGAGTGCTGCTCCTGGAGTCCTTCAAGCTGCCGCTTCTCCCTGCTGCCTTCCAGCTCTAATCTCCTTATAGGTGTAGCACCATGGCAACAGACCCAGCCTGGAGCCCAGGAACCTTGTTTGTCTCACCTGAGGGGCTAGATGCAGCCTGAAGGAGGAGCAGGAAAATCACCTCTCCTGCAGCTCGTAACTTCCAGTTTTGTTGCCTGTTTTGTTGTCATTGATGAGCTGCTACTGAAGACTTGGAATAGCACCTGAAAAACATGTATCCAAAGATCTTGTCAGGAGCCGAGGGCAGCAGGGAAACCATCTTCTATTTGTTCCTGTCTTCAAAACAGAGAGTTGTTTTCTGAGGTGTAGTTCAGAAAGCGACACGCTGGACCGTGACATGTGGCACCGCTATGATTTGGGGCTGCTCTGCCAGATGGCTGTACAATTGCTTCATGTAGGTAGACGCCTATTTTGTTTGAAAGAAAATTAGTTTTTGTTTTAGAAACTTTGTGTAGAGAATTTTTTAAATTACAGGAAGCTTTTTGGTACTTCTTTCTATTTAAATATGCCTTCATCACGCCTGTTGAAAGCCTCAAGCCCAGACCAGGAGGTGTTTGTCCTGGGGAAAACAGGCAGGGATTGTCCTTTTTTATGCATATAAGAAAAACAACAGCATCCTGTTGCTTCGTTCAGGCTTCATATAAAGCATATTTTTAAAAGTTGTATGGTAATTACATATACATTTGTATTAGCATATAGTTATTTATAGTTGATGTGCTATATTTCTAGTATACAATTGCCACTGTTTTTTCTAACAACACAAAGAAACAAATGTGGGGCTGTGTTACATTGTAATATTTATCTAAAGTACAGAACATTAGGTGACACTTGCCTGTTTTGTACTTTATCACCAGAAAATAGAAATAGTGATAATGTGTACCCTAAACTGCTGAATATCAGAATATCAATTTTTTGGCCTAAACATTAAATGGTGGATGAATTTTGAGGAAAAAAGGGTGAACAAAAATCTTACAGCTTAAGCTGATTCTTACTGTATGGAGTTGGATGAAACAGTATTGGAATGGAGACCGAAGGGGAAAGAGCAGCTTTCAGTGCTAGTTTCCTATATCTCATTACTTTATAATTTAACTAAAAGCTACTCTGGCATTAAGTACTCCAGTTCCTGCTAATGTTAACATGGTTATTTCAAGGAAGTGATCAAAGCTGCTTAATGTGTTTTACAAAAACAAATGCCTTTACACACGGCATTTCTTTGGGTCTGCTCACTAAGCAGTTCTACTTGAAATACATGCCTTTAATGCCGGGTATTTGAGTCAATAAATACTGTAATTACCAAGTAAAACTACATGGCCTTCCAGTTCTGGATTCAATATTGTGCTTTATATATGGCTGCGTTAATTCTTCCAAGGGGAAGGCAGTGGAGTACTAGCTCCTGTAGTGATAAGAAGTCATGACTCTCAACATTCTTTCTAAGACAACAAGGCAACATAATCAGCCAGGGTATCTGAATGGAGCTGACAAAGCTCTGTTCTTCTAGATTAGAGTTTGAGCATTTCTTTTGAGAGTGGGAGGTTGCTTCAAGATACTCTTTTCTTTATTCATGTTTATACAGTAAAGCATGTCTAGAGCCAAAGACCTGCAAGAAGAGAATTCTATATTGAAATGGAAATAAGGCCTTGTGAAAGACAAAGTCTTGTTCTATGCAGTTGGGCTTTGACACTGTGTTATGTGTGTGTTTATTATGCCAAATAGAGAGCGACAAAATGAGGATTCAGTCACTACTATGTATTTTGTTGACAGCAGAAGATAAAGCTAAGCTATAGGGAGGCAGGGCTATCATGTCTTTTGACAATAGCTGTGCATACATGGACAGAAATAATGTGGATGGTAACCTAGAATAGCATTATATTGCTCCATTTCAAAGATGGGAATGAGGCTTAAAGTAATCTTTATAATAAAGTTTTGAGCTCCCTTGAAACATTGTGTGTTTTAGAGCTTTATTTTGCATGTATATGGCAGGGGACGTGAGAGTGGGTGTATATGTGCCAGACCTTTTATAAAGCAGCATTCTGTCAGAGAAATATTTCCCACTAAAACTAGCAGTAAAAAATGGTAAGACTGCACCCTGTCAAAAGCAGAAAACTTTCAAGACCTGAAAAAGTAAGACAGCCTCATTGAGTTCTGGCTCTCACATGTTTCACTGGATACAAGGGGCCTTCACAAAGTTAATGGGAAAATTACATTATCTGTGTCTTGTCAATTCAGTTACTATTTTTGTTATTATATATTGGCTATTTGTTGTTCTTGGCATGTTGTGTGAGCGAGACTTCAAAAGGTCTGTGAGGAACTTGAATTAAAAAATAATGGAAATTTTCCCTGAATAGTTGGAAGCTTTCTTATTCATATATTGTTAGCATCCATTGTTATTACACCTTGCCTTTCTGGTTGACCAAGTCTTAAATTCCTTTTTCTATATTTAGGTCTCGAGGATTGCCTAAACTAAAAGAGTCACGTTCCCATGAATCCTTGCTGAGCCCCTGCAGCGCAGTGGAATGTCTGGATCTTGGTAGAGGGGAGCCCGTATCTGTGAAACCACTCCATAGTAGCATTCTTGGACAAGACTTCTGCTTTGAGGTAAAGTGTAGGTAAAAAGAAGGTGTAACAAAAAAGAACTAAATAGCCAATAGATCTTCTATTCCATAATTTCATGATTTCATTACTGTAATGTTGATGAGTTGATCATCTTAAATAACTTTAAATCGCTAAAGATTGCTTACTTAAAGGGGAAAATATTAGAAATCTCTTCATCTAATTTTGTTCGCAATTAAAGTTGTGCATAATGGTTTGTCATTCCCTTTGTCCTGGTATGCTTTCAGAATAAATGAGTTCTAACAGTCTCAGCAATGAGATTAACAATAATTTATTAAAGCAGTATATTTGTTTTTTTGTATTGATAAGGCTATTACCCACTGTATTTTGTTATTACTCTTTTGAAACCACATGCCCCTATTTTAAGGGTTCTTTGAGATTAATTACTAAGGCTGTAACATTTGTAACTATAACTACAAGCTCTTCAAGATTTGGGAAATATTTTTCATATTTTGTAATCCCTGCAACTGGCACAGGTTCTGGTATAATGCAAATGCATAATATGTTGAATCAACTAATTGCTCTTCAACAGAAAATTATGATTGCCACTTTTATAATAATTATCTCTCCCAAACTAGATTTACACTGTTGGCCATTGCAAGTTAAACCTGAAAACTGTATGTCTCTAATTATTAGGGTTTGAATTTGATTAATTGACCAGAACTTAACTTTATTGTCCAGCGATTAATCTTATGATAGATACTATAGAGTTTGGAGATGTTTATTCCTGTTTTTATAAACCAAGAAAAATAAAATGTTAACCATGTGATAATTTTTTAAAATTATTTTATTGGGGGCTGTTATCACAATCCAATGCCATACATCCATTGTGTCAAGCACATGTGTACATTTGTTGCCCTCATCATTCTCAAAACATTTGCCTTCCACTTTAGCCCTTAATATCAGTTGCTCATTTTCCCCCTCCCCCCTTCCTCATGAACCCTTCATAATCCATAACTTATTACAGTTTTGTCATAAGTTACACTGTCCAACGTCTCCCCCTGCCTTCTTCTCTGCTTTCCCTACCCCAGGGAGGAGGCAGTACTTAGATTCTTGTAATCTGTTCCCCCTTTCTGCCCCACATACCCTTCACCCTCCAGGCCTCCCCCCTCTCACCACTGGTCCTGAAGGAGTCATCTGTCCTGGATTCCTTGTGTTTCCAGTTGCTATCTGTACCAATGTACATCCTCTGGTCTAGCCAGATTTGTAAGGTAGAATTGGGATCATGATAGTGGCGGGGAGGAAGCATTTAAGAACTAGAGGAAAGTTATGCAACCATGTGATAATTTTAAATTTTATTTCAATGTAAACTTATCTTTTTTTAAATTTTTACTATACAAGTCTTAGAAATCTGATGTGTATTTTACCCTAGCAGTACATCTCAATTCTGAGTAGCCACATTTTAGATGTTAACTAGTCGCATATGTGTAGGACAGCACATGCAATGTGATCTGATTCATGAAGTGATCACTTGAAGCTGAATATGTAAAGAATTCAATATCCATAAATTTCAGCAATTTGGTTATTTATGGGTGTTGGTTGTTTTTGTTTTTTTAATTTGAGATCACGTGAACTTCCCTATAATTGGAAAAGTTGCTTAACAGGCTCTATACTAAGCCCAGTGTTAGGTGCTAAGGATACAGACAGTATGTTTGTTTCAACCTTAAAAGATGGTGATTATCGTGCTAAGGTAATCTAGGACTGGAAATCAACAGAATGGTTATCTAGTAGAGAAAAAATGGGTTCCAAAGACAAAAATTCAATACTAGTAAGCTTTCTCTATTTCAGTTAGTACTCTTCTATATTAGCAGAGTGATAGCAGTCCCAAGAAATTTGATACTCTCTTCCCTTTTATTTTATTATTATTATTTTTTATCAACTCAATTGAGTGTACATGTTTGTGAGTAATTTAAGATGTGTGAAAGGTTTTCAAGTTTGTCTGTAGACTACATTCCTCAGCTGAGTTCTAAATTGCCTTTGTTCTCTTACTTGGAAGTGAGTGTGGATGCTATCTAGGAGATAAAACAAAGAACACCGAGAGATGTAGACACAGATACCACAAAAGTAGCAGAGATCATATTGGTGTCATGTAGGATTACTCGGCGTCATAGCATGTCCTTCACTTTTAAGTGATAGAATTAGGAGGATGGGAACACCCACCCACTCCACCCTCTGTGTCCCAGTGCCTCACATTTTCTTTTTCATATCTCTGATCTTTATGTTGAAGGTTACCTACTTAAGTGGGAGTAAATGCTTCAGCTGTAACTCTGCCTCCGAGAGAGATAAGTGGATGGAAAACCTCCGCAGAACAGTTCAACCAAATAAGGTAATAATGGCTTTGAGTCTCTGAAAATACATACAACTCTATACCTGGTAAGTGAGTAGGAGGTAAAATAAATAATAATGCCATAATTTTTATGCAGCTTTACAGATTTTGAAACACATTTATATGCTTTACCATTATATGCACAAAATAATTTTACTGTAGATAATATCATCACCCTATCAACATAGATCGAAAGAGTACGGGAAGTTGGGTGATTTGTTCAAGTCAAAAACTAATTCCTGCTAGAAATGGGATTTATGCATGAGTTTCTTAACTACATATCTTCCTTTTGTTTTTTTTTACTTCCAAACTCAGATTCCATTGATACTGGGCTGACTCTGTGAGACTTTATGATTATGGGGATTTTTTTTTAACCCCTGTAAAATACAACTTGTGTGGCTTTTTTAGGCCATTCTTATTTAGAAGTTGTTACTTTGTACTTCTGTAAAGAGTTAGTTTCTGAAACCCACAGGGACAGTTCTACCTTGTGCTACAGGGTCACCTGGAGCTGGAATCAACTTGAAGGCAATGAGTTTTTGTTTGATGTTATCCTGAACAATAAGATAATAATCACTTGTACTATTTGTAGACCATCCTTAATGGAGTACATAATCAGCATCACCTATTGAATAGGGGAAATGTTCTCTTTCTGGAATTCAAGCTCTCAGATTCAACTTTGTTGCTTCTTTATAGGATAATTGCAGACGAGCAGAGAATGTTCTCCGTTTATGGATCATTGAAGCCAAGGACCTTGCCCCTAAAAAGAAATATTTTTGTGAACTGTGCCTTGATGATACCCTCTTTGCTCGTACTACCAGCAAGACCAAAGCAGACAATATTTTCTGGGGTGAACATTTTGAATTTTACAGCCTCCCTCCTCTTCATAGCATCACAGTTCACATTTATAAGGATGTGGAAAAAAAGAAAAAGAAGGACAAGAACAATTATGTAGGGCTTGTCAACATCCCCACTGCCAGTGTGACTGGTCGCCAATTTGTAGAAAAGTGGTATCCAGTGAGTACACCAACACCAAACAAAGGAAAGACTGGAGGACCTTCCATCCGGATTAAATCACGGTTCCAAACTATCACCATTCTGCCTATGGAGCAATACAAAGAATTTGCAGAATTTGTCACCAGCAACTACACCATGCTGTGTTCTGTCCTTGAACCAGTAATTAGTGTGAGGAACAAAGAGGAGCTGGCTTGTGCCTTAGTGCACATTCTTCAGAGTACTGGTAGAGCCAAGGTAAGTGGAAAAGCGGATAGAGCAAGACGGAGCAGTGTTTCATTCTGGTGTGCACAAGGTCACTTTGGGTTGGAACCAACCCAGTGGCACCTAACAACAATTATCTGAAATCTTTCTCCTACCAGTTTAAAGAAAAGAAGATAACAATACTATGGATTCAAAATTAGAGAAATTTGTTTTGCTATTTGTCAAGAAAGAAACCTGTTAGCAGTTTTTGGAAGAAATGGGAATTATAAAACTAGAAAGTGAAATGGAGAGACCAAAAAATAATTATTTAAAGTCAGTTTACATGAAAGGGATATACCACAGACACTTATTTATTGTCTAACAAAATAAATGTAGAATCGCCTTGATAATCCCACAGTGTGCTCAAGATCTTTTATAATTAGTTATAGAGTGTGTTGTATATGCGCTCTCTCTCTCTCTCTATATATATATATATATTTTTGTTGTTGTTGTTGTTGTTGTTTGTTTGTTTTTTTAAGTTAAAACTAACTGATAAGTATATCACCCAGTCACCAAAGGACATGTTCTAGAAGCATGCTGGATACTAACAAGAAGGGTTAAAATCTGTATTTGGAATATGCATTTTATAAACTATCAATAGTATATATAATATCCCAGGAATATTATTAAATGTTTTCATGATACCCATATCTCATTGCATCTTAAATAGAAATAATTCAAGAAGATAAAAACATGGTAAGCTTCTTATGAGAAGAAAAGTAACCAATTGATAATCAGGGTTCTTGAGCAGCTTGGAATATGGCAATTACCACCTCTATAAGGCATGTTTACTTGACTAAGCTGAGTCTCCATCATATCATATGTAAAGCTTACTTCAGACTGAGAGAAGTTCAGATACAATAATTTAATTAGAACCAAGGAATAGAATGAAATGATATTAATATTCCTTAACAGAAATCCGAATGCATCAAAACACTTGATATTTAATCCCTAAACTAACCTTAGCTTTATCTTTGTGGTTGAATATATGGATAACAATCTTAAACATTCTGGTGTTAAAAATCTTTAAGAATTTGGAATTGAGATTTTTCATCTTCTCCTTGAAATTGCATGGATACATTCTTTATACTCTTCAATGGAACTAAAATATTGGCGGGCGGGGGCGGGGGGGATTCCACAAACTTATTGAAGCCTCCTCAGATGTAAGTTTTTAAAGAATTAACTTTATAGAAGAGTACATGGGTGGTACAATTGGGTAAATACATGGCTACCAACCAAAAAGTTGGTAGTTTGAATCTCTTTCTTAAAGGTCACAACCATGAAAATCCTTTATACTACAGTCCTGCTTTTCCAACACATGGGGTGTCCATGAGTCTCATTTCTTAATCTAGTACAATTTATATATAATAAACTACCCCCATGTAAAGTGTAAAATTCACTGACAAGTTAGATATATACACCCATTAAAACTACCAGCATAATCATGATATAGAATATTATGATCACCCTCAAGTTTTCTTCTGCTCCTTACCAGAAGAGTTTTAATGGTGATTCCTAACTTCACAACTCTTTTATGTCGTTGAGATGCATCAGAGTAAATCTCAGTAATATTTAAAATACTTTATTTGGAAGTCAAAGTAAACATTTTTTCTTTTTGGGGGCTCAAAAGACCTTGAATATACTCATGGTATACTCAGTGGATATACTCATAACATAAAATAATTATGATCTTATTACATGTCATATTGAACCCCCAAAAGCATTAAAGAAAGATTACATCAGGTATTTTAAAGTTGTTGAAAAATGAAGCAGTTGTTTTTTGAGGACTTCTCCATGGGTGGATGGATGGCCAGCCTAGCAAATGAATTCAAGTGATGAGTGCAAGAAATTCTTATGTTGATATTGGACCAATTTGTAAATAATAAATCTTGAATTCTTAACATGTGCCAGAAACTGCTAGATGCTGAAGATATGGTCATAAACAAAAATAGAGACTGTCCTTAGCCTCATGGGTTTATAAAAAACATTAACCAAGTAATTACAGAAATTAGTGTGTGACTCCTTAGATGTCCAGAGAAGATGAGACATGTGATGCCAAGAGTGGTAAGCAAGGACCTGTCTAAAGGGACAGGGGCAGTGTTAGTTAGGGAGAGTTTCTCAAGGAAATGAGGTTTAAGCTACAATGCAAAAGATCTAAGGGATTAAGTCCCTAACAGTGGGGGTAAGCATGCAGGTGGGAGTGCAGCTGAACTGAGACCAGCATATGCAAAAGACTTTGTGGTGAATAGAGAGCATTGTGTGCTAGAAAGGACTTGATGTATTCACAGACCCTGAAAGAACTAATCATGAGGCTAGAGCAAACTGCAGAAAGAATAGTCCAGGCTGAGCCGGAGAAATAGAATAAAAAATATATAGCCTTGTAGACCACATTGAGAATTAATCTTTATCAACAGCGCAAAAACAAACCTTAATAGAAATTTTATATTTAGCTGTGGTGATATGCTTAAGAGTCTATCCTGACTGCCCTTTTTCATTCAGATTAATTTGGTAATTTTCATTCTAAAGCAGTGTTTCCAGGATTGCTCATACTTTTTCATTCTTTTAATGTATATTGTTTATTTGGTTACTTTCTGCCTGATTGAATATTACTCTACCAGGATTTTCTGACTGACTTGGTGATGTCTGAGGTGGATCGGTGTGGAGAGCATGATGTCTTGATCTTCAGAGAGAACACCATTGCCACCAAATCCATTGAGGAATACCTCAAGTTGGTGGGACAGCAGTATCTTCATGATGCACTGGGTATGCAACAGAAAAACATCTTTCTTTCCCCTTTGATTTTAAATTATTTTAACTCATAGAACAAGTTAATACTGATATCAGATTTTGTATGTTACCTGATTCTATCTGACTAGACTGTTAAGGTTTGAGTTTCAGTTCAGGCCCACCTACCGCTCCAGAGGGGAAAGATGAGACTGTCTGCTCCAGTGAAGATTGACAGCCTCAGACACCATGTGGGCGGTCCTGCTCTGTCCTGTGGGTGGGGGTGGACTGCTGGCCAGTGGGCTGGATTTGGTTGAGTGCAGAGGATAGAGTCCCACTGTCCTCTGGGAAGCATCGTGTGAGCCACATAGGGAGTTTCATGTTTTCTAGTCACACCAAAGAGGTTTTTAAAAAGGTGAACTTGGTTTTCATTATGTATTTTATTTAACCCAATGCATCCAAGTATTATTTCAATAAGTAATTAATACATAAATAAGCAGTAAGTTTCTTACTTTTTTCTACTGTCTTTGGAATTCTGTTTGTAGTTTACATCTATTGCACATTTCAATTTGCAAGTAGCCACATTTCAAAATCATTACTTACATAGAGGGGATAAGAGAAGCTATAACCAGGAAGAGAATAGGGCCAAACGCGAGTCTTTTACTTATGATGTACGAGGGAGGAAAAGCAGCTACCTGGGACTCTAGGAGAGATCCAGTAAAGGTATGTTGAATGACTAGATATATTTTTGCCCTCAAGGAATTCACAGAGGAGAGAAGGAAATCCCTATAACCAAAAAACAAGGGGGGAAAATCCATGCTTTTTAAAAAAGAATTAAAGGCATTATTTCCAGCTGATGAAATTGTAAAATATCCTGAATGTGTGTGTGTGTGTGTGGTTTGAAAGGTAGAAAGATTATAGAAACCATAAATTGGGCATAATTAAGGATTATCGTGGAGTTAAAAAAATTGCATGAACAAAAGAGCATAGAGTTTGTAAAGAATAAAAAGACCCAACAGACAACAACAAACAAACAAGCAAAATCATATTTTTTTAAAAAGGTATTATAACCAATTTGTTGAGAGCCTCGAAAGCCAGACTGAGGAGTTGAGCCTCTCCAGTTATCATCAGAGGCAGTGAAAGATTTTGACACAGATATTTGCAGTAGAGTCCATTTAACAGAATGATGAGTAGATGAAGAAAGCACTGTGCGCATGTCCTCTTTGAAAAGCCACTGCAGTAAGCAGCACGGGAAAGAAAGAGACTCGCTGGCATCATCGCCATGTGTGAGATTAGAAGAAAGAGAAATGGGAGGAATACTAAAGAAGTTGAACTGATAGGACTTGGCAGTGTTTTTAGTTAGTGGGAATTCGTAAGATGTGCGATCATTCCATGAAATTGGGTCCTGAGTGTCTGACTAGAAGGATAATGAAATTCATAACAAAAATAAAGGATATAGAAAATAGTAAGTTTGAACAAGAGGAAATCATATTCCCACTTCCTCGACATTGAATTTGAAGCTCTAATAGGAAATACCTGTGCACCTGACTAGCTGCCTGTTGTAAAGCTGGGACTAGCTTTACCCACACAGAGGAGACCCGTGAAGCAGTGACCAGGAAGAGAGTAGGGCCCCACACAGATTTAACGATGAATATGGAAAAAAGAAAAATCAGAAAAGTAGAGCATGCAAAATGGAAACAAAGTCAGAAGAATACAGTGGGGCACCTCAAAAGAATAGAAAGTATCAAGAAACCTGGGGCAAATTAATAGAGATTTAGAGGAGAAAAAACATTTTTAGAGGGTAGAGGTGGGGGACATATATTTGGCAGTTTAAAGATTTCTAGGGATGACTGGGACTGGTTTCACAAGGACAGCACCCAGGGTGGAAGGGATTAAAAAATGATTGGCTGGTCAAGAAATAGGATCAGAATATGATAAGAAAGTAGTTTCGCCCTAGTAGCAATTAGTTCCTACTATGTAGGCAAAAATTGTTTTCCCTCATTGCTGCTACTTAAGATCCAATGGGGTTTTATGAGAAAAACAGTGAAGATAGATTTTCGTTGGCAATAAGAAAGATACAGAGACATTTCTAGTCTCATTTGCATGAAGAGCTTTTAACAACCATATCATAAGTTATTATATTGCATGGTTTGCCAAGATTTGCTTATTTAAAAAAAAAAAAACAGCAGAGGGAGGGGAAAAAAGAGGAGCTGATACCAAGGGCTCAAGCAGAAAGAAAATGTTTTGAAAATGATGATGGCAGCAACATATGTTCAACTGTATTTGATAAAATTAATGTATGGATTATTGTAAGAGCGCCCAATAAAATGATTTATTAATTTTCTTCAAAACCCTCCTTAAAGCTATTAAAAAGCAGAGATGACACTTTGAGAACTAAGATGTGGTGGACCTACGCCTTGGAATTTTCAGTTGCCTCATGCACATGCAAAGACTAGACAACATATAATGAAGAAAAAGAACTGATGCCTTTGAATTTTGTTGTTGATGAAGAATACTGAAGGGATTGCCAGAAGGACAGACAAATTTGTCTTAGAAAAAGTAAAACCAGAATGCACCGTAGAGGCATGCCGTGTGACAGGATCCGTCCCTAGAGAAGGACTTGAGCTTGGTCCGTGCAAAAGAAGGAGCCGTCACATAATAAAATGAATTGACGTAAGACCAGGCAGAATTTCATTCTACTGTACCTAGGAGCACTTCTGAGTTGGAGCTGACTCGCTTGTACCTAATAATATCACCACCATTGTTTTATAAAATGTATTGATGAAGCCTCCTCACCAACAATATTCTCCATTCATAGGCATAGGGTGAATATTTGTTGGTACCTACTTCTAAAAAATCAAAGATTAACATTCTACAATGCAATGAACTAAATATAAATAATTTCCAAAATGAAAGATACATATAAGTTCTTAGATGTTGTTAGGATCTATAGAGTTGACGCCAACTCCCAACAGCCCTATACACAGCAGAACAAACACTGCGCATTCCTGGGCCATCCTCACATTTGTTCCTACACCTCAGCCCATGAATGCAGCCACTGTGTCAATCCATCTCCTTAAGGGCCTTCCTCTTTCGTGATGCCCCTCCACAATACCAAGCATGCATGCTGTCCTTCTCCAGGGACTGGTCTCTCCTGACAATATGTCTAAAGTATGTAAGATGAAGCCCTACCATCCTTACCTCTAAGGAGCAGATTGGTTTGTCCTGTGAGCAGGCCATGGTACTGAGTATTCTTCTCCAGCACCCCAATTCAAATGCATAGCTGCTGCTTAGATCTTCCTCGTTCAATGTCCTACTTTCATATGCATATAAGGCAACAGAGCATACCATGGCTTGAGTCAGGCACACCGTAGTCCTCAAAGTAACATCCTTTTCAATATTCTAAACAGGTCTTGTACAGCAGATTTGCCTAATGCATATGTCTTTGGCTCTCTGGACTGCTTCCTTCCTGAGCATTGATTGTGGATCCAAGCAAGACAAAACCTTTTCTCCGTTTATCATGATGTCACCTATTGGTTTACTTGTGAGGATTGCTTACATCAAGGTGTTCTTACATTAAGTTGTAATCCATACCAAAGACTACAATCTTTGATCTTCATCTGCAAGTGCTTCTAGTACACCTCACTTTCTGCCAGCAAGGTTTTGTTATTTACGTAGTTCAGGATGTTAATAAACCTTCCTCCAATCCTGATTGCATTCTTCTTCATATAATTCAGCTTCTCTGATTATATGCTCAGCATACAGATTGAAAAAGTATGGTGAGAGGATACAACCCTGATGCCCACTTTTCCTGATTTTAAACCATGCAGTATTCCCTTGTTCTGTATGCACAGTTGCCTCTTAATCCACGTACAAGTTCAGCATGAATGCAATGAAGTATTCTAGAAAATCCATTCTTCTCAAGGTTATGCATAGTCTATTATGGTCCACACAGTCACATGCCTTTTCACAGTCAATGAAGCACAAGTAAACATCTTTCTGGTATTCTCCATTTTGAGCTAAGTCCTGTTCTGAATCTGGCCTGAACTTCTGACAGTTCCCTGTCGATGCACTGCTGTAACTTTGTTGGATGATCTTAAGCAAAATTTTACTTGTGAAATTCTTTGATTGGACAGATTAATTAGGTAATTTTTGTCAGTGAGACATGAAAATTAGTTCATAGAGCATGAACATAAATTCAAGTAAACCCACAAATCTTTATTAGAGTTTTAATTCAAGAGCAAGGGCCACTGTGGTTAAAACAGCTGCTGCTTTCAAAATAGAAGCAGAATAACTGGTAAACTTCCTGAAGACAAGAATTATAATGTCCTCTTTCCACTTACTCTCCATGTTTCTAGTTAGCATCCCAGAGTCTCAGTGGCCATTTGTTCTCGTATACTTGACTTTTATGACAGGTGCTCTGTTTTTAAAGCAAGTTACAGAGTGTGTCTCTGTAGGCAATTCAAATGGACACTTCTTACTTAAGGATCAAGAAAATGAGTGAGTTCTCAAATGGTAACCCTAAACTGTGACATTTTCAGTTATCTAAGTACAATTCCATTATGTTTACCGTATAATCCTGTACTTGCTGTGGCAAGAGCATTTAATAATGCAATTTAGAAAAATTTCATTGGGTAAAACTTCACAGTGAAGTCTCATTAAACCAAAAGAAATTAGTAAATGCAACTAAGCACTCTAAATAATTAACATTTTGCTATATTCCAGACACTTTGGGACAAAAAGTAGATACTATTTCCAGATTGCCTGAAGATTTTTCAGAATTGCATTTTAAAACTGCCAATCATATTGTACATTCTCTACCTGCTTTTAGATAATCTTCATTTATATTGATTAGAGCTTTTTAGTCTTATTTACTGCCTCATTTAGACTTGAATCTTCTTCAGTTGGCTTCTTTTACCTTTTGGATTAAAATCAGAGCATATTGACACGTGACACACAGGAGAGACTATCTGCGAGACAGAAAAAACAAAGCCCGCCTGAATACTTGATTTCCACTCTTGTTGGCAGAGGCAACTTGGTCTCAGTAGTAATACATCCATATCCTTTGACTTGTTCCTCTATGTGAAATGTTGATGATAGATAGCAATGCCCTTATATGCTAGATAGGAGCCCTGGTTGCGTAGTGGAATATGGCTGGGCTGCTAGCCACAAGGACAGCAGTTCGAAACCATCATTCATTCTGTGAGAGAAAGATGAGGCTTTCTACTCCCATAAAGAGTTGCAGTCTCAGAAAGCGACAGGGGCAGGTCTCAGTCCTGTCAAAGTGTTGGAATCAATTCTATGATAGTGAGTAAGTCAATAGTGTCGACAGGAGACATGTCAAAAACATTCTGGGCATGTACTGAATAAGTCACCCCTTTGGTTTTGATTCCCACCCCCCAATGACAAGAGGGGGAAAAAACTGTATTCTGTATGTTTTAATCTGTCTCAGTTTTTTATCACATGGCAGCTTCTAGATATGTCTGTATAAAGTTCACCTTTTAGTATGTTGCATTCCACTTCAGCATTCATTACTGCCAGATATACATTGCTAATGCACTATTTACTATCTCCCAAAGAGTGAGATAGTAAACATTTTACTTTGTGCTTGTAAATGCCAAAAAATAAATGTCAGAAAACAAGATGGTAATAAAGGAGGAATATATAGAGAGTATATACAAGGTAGAGGATAAAACAAAGGGTAGAGATTTGTTCTGTTCAGGAATATTGGGCATCTCTTTACTGAATACAGGATAACTGAGCAGGGGTGCATACTAAATTTATATGGGAAAGGATATAAAAGTCATGTATAAAGAGATGTTTTGGGGTTTACTGCTGTGTTGAACAACTACTCCCTCCAAAGCAAGAGGTGAACTTGTGGACCCTTCCTTGCATCTGTATTTGGTACAAGCATGAATACTTCAAAGCATTAGATGGGGGGTAGGATGTGGGAGGGCGGGAATAAAGGTGAAATGATAACAAAGAGTTCAAGAAGAAAGAAAATGTTTTGAAACTGATGGTGGCAGCAATTTTATAATTATGCTTGATCTAATTGAATTATGGATTGTTATAATATCTGTAAGAGCTCCCAATAAAATGATTTTTTTTTTTCCTGATCGGGTGTCCTTTATTTATTTATTTTTTCTTTTTTAACATTTTATTAGGGGCTCATACAACTGTTATCCCAATCCATACACACATCAATTGTGTAAAGCGCATT